CAAATATTCACCTTCCTCTGTTTCTGTTCTGAGCTCTGTGCTGCCCTGGCTCCGCTGCTAACAGGACCTAAGCTGTTCAGGTACAACACTCAAACAGCAGTGACTGCAGCCTAGATAGACAAACTAGTAATGACGGCACTGAGGGCTGGGACCAATGTTTGTTCTACAATCCTGAGTTTTATTAAGGCTGGAAAGACTAAATCCCACTAGATCCCAGCTTTAGGTGCCTAACTACGTTTAAAAAAACCTGGCCCCAGGTGCATTCACAGAGAGGTAACTTCCTTTTCCTGTACATCCCCTGAAATGTCTGAGACTGCCAAGGAAGCGGTCACTCCATCAGAGTTAAGACTGAGTTGTGTGTAGCTGTTCTGTGGAATAAAGGAGGACTCCAAAGATCTGTTCTGATTTTTTGGTATGATTTCCAAAGATTAGATTTTAAAAGAGGGAGGAAAACATCTCCCCTGATGTCCAAAGGAATGAGGTATCTGAGGGAAGTGTGAGAAGAAGCCCTGCAGAAAGAGTGCAATGCCTTGGACAGTTTACCCTCTCTCCGCTGTCTATAGAACATACCTTCCTAGCACTACTGAGGATTTTCTTGTTAGACCTCTGGGGCTTAAGCTTCCTGGCTGACTTCAGGGTGCAGGGCTGTTGGGGCAGGGGCAGAATGTCACCCAGAGGGCTAGCAGACAACAGGCCCTGCCTGGGAATCCACAGGGGTTCAAAACAGCATAGAAAAGAACAGCACTAACCCAGCACTAGGGATAGGGAGTGCCTATGCTGACTGTGGGATATGCTAATTCAGCACTCAGGGGGCAATAAAGTAATTGAGCCATAGAAAAATAGGGCTAGAGGGGACCTTGAGATCAGTTAGTCCAACCCTCTGTATAAAGGAAGATCATCTCTGTCTAAACCAGGGCTGTCCAGCTGGTGGCCTGCAGGCCTCTTGAGGGGTTAACTGGTGGTGCCTGGGCTCCTAGTCTACCCCCACTCCCCCCATTGTTCTACTGCTGCTGCTGGGGTTTCCTGCCCCCACTCCCTCCTCCTGCTTCTATTTCCTGCTCCTGGGGACAGGGGACAGTCTGTGGGGCTGAAGGAGCCCACAACTGGGGGTTTGGCAGGACCTGGGGCCACTTATGAGGGGTGGGAGCCCCACTATGATTCAGTGTAGAGTGCTGACTGCATGGCATGGCAGAGGGTAGCGCCTATGCAGCATGGCATGTGGGCACCATAAGGTTGCAGTGGTATTGGGCCCATGTGGCACATGGCCTCAGGGGTGGGGGTGTGTGCAGTCCATATGGTATGTGGCTGGGGGGCTGTGGCCCATGGCCACTCAGAAATTGGACAGCCCTGGTCTAAATCACCCCAAGACAAGCATCTGCCTCAGCTGTCCTATGAATCCCCCTCCCTTTTCCATGATGGAGAGAAAACGCTGTAATCCTTTGCTGTTGCCTCTGAGGGAAGGCAGCACTGGTCTCCTTATGCTGCAAACCCACTGTAACACAGGTGAAACTTTCACCTCCCTCTACCAGCAGCGATGAACCTGATCCCAGTCCACAACGGTGAAGACACCATAAGCCCTGCATTCCAACGACAG